TGTATGGACGAGCATATCTTTTAAGAATCTAACAACATAATCGGCACCCACGAGCTAGAATTTCCACAACATCTCAAAAAGTTACATAAAACGATGAGTCATAAGAAAAATGTAATGCACATCATATTTAAATCAATCAAAAACAACAGATTCAATCATCCAAAATATATCACTTGAAGTATCGTCGACTTGTCGACAAAAAAAACTCAAAACAAAAACTTGTCGATGAATAGCTTCTATCGTCAAGGTTAGGTCGTTTTCGAAGCCACTGACTGACTGTCCTTGGAGATACTTGTAAATGTAGAAGAAATCGCTGTCCATACTTCGTGGGTCCATTCTTCTCTATCTAATCTAACATGTGCTACTTGTTTTTCACCATCTTTTCTCATGCCTTTTCCGAACTTGTTGGTGCAGAAGATGTGAGGCCCCATGAAAAAACAATAGCACCGGTAAAGTCAAGATGCGGAAAACAGTTTTCAAGATCCATTTCGTGACTCGTATTCCATATGCGGATATCAGAATATAAGTAAGCACGAGCAGTACCAATAGCGCCAAGACTGCTGATAACAGAGTCTTATACCACATGAGGAATACATCAAGGATATGTGGAAAATCGGGCCAATGAAATCCAACAGGTTCGCTACTTGTTTCCCCTCTCAACCATCTATCAACCATATTGGAAGCCGTGTGAGGGTACTTTAATAGTCCACCGATTTCAAAAATGGTCACGGATTGCCCACATGATGCTCTGCATTTCTGATGAATTCTTGCGGTGTCGAAGCTAAAGCGTAATGACGAAGTCTTTCCTTCTTGGTTGCATTCCACTGTGAAACTGATGGTTTCGCATATTATCTCTGCTTGAGTAGGTTTTGAGGATGTGCACGTCACGTCCGCCCTTGCTCCTTTTGCACATTTGTAGCAACCTGTTAGTAGAACGTTTGAAATCGAACATGTGGCTTCATCAACCAAAATGTCGGTTTCCAGATTGCCTTGCATCGTCATTATTATTTCTGCTGTCGTCATACTAGGAATTGTTGCATGAACTTGTCCTTCTCTGTCCCTTTTGAAGATCACCGAGGGGAACACCAAAGGAAGTCGATGCCGTAAGTCATGAATCCACGCCGAAATGTTAAGATTTTCACAATTGCAGTTTGCTTGCGTTTCGGCTGGGTAGCACACGCACTTGTTTGCTATGTTGCAGTCAAACGTTTGGGCTTGAGACCTATTTTGGCATTCCAACAGTGGTGTTAATTGCGGATTCCATATAGCGGTGGAATTGCCGTCGGTAATAAACGGAGTGTTCAGCAAAGGAGTTGGAGCAGATTTCACTAAGGACAAAGTTAGCGTGAACGAATTCCACTTAATTGGTACATACGGTATCATGAAAGCTGTGTAGGACTGTGTTTTCTTTTGGCGTATGTCCGTATGTGTGAATTTGACCTTAGCTGTTTCTCTCCACCGGTTGCAGCGAAAGATCTCGTAGACATTTGATGAGGTGGGGGTGGCATAGATGCGATAGAATAGGCACCCGGAACCTAAAGAGACGCAATCACAACCAAAACCTCCGCAGGACTCTACACACATGGTGACCCCGGGATACTTGTTTCCTTCTTTTAGTTCTTCTATAAGACTTGTTTCGGTGATTGCAGCACATTTCTGTCCAGTACATGAGCCCATAAGGGAGCATCTTTTGCTACTAATGACCTGGTACTTTGCGTCTCTTGTGAAGGATGTTACTTCTGGCTCGCAAAGGAGTGATAGATTGTTCCATTCTGCTCGAAATTCATGAAGAGTAGTGTTTCCTTTTTGCAACCTGAAGCACGCTTCCTTCTTGAAGGTGTTAAGTTTCAGGACATCAGAGAGGTGGACCTTGCATGTGTTACCTTGGCCAGTATTTTCGCAGACTGTGGAGGTGTGCGAAAATAAGTCGACTTGTTGACAACTTTCTCCGCATTTGTATTGGCAAACTATCAGTGACGCCACGGCTAAGAGTTCTACTAGATCAGCCGGTTTTCTTCGACGTCTTCGTTGTCCAATGTTGCCGAGTCGTCGAAAGACAACACCAACGATATGACAGATACCACGAAGTGCAACACCTGCCAATATGCGTACCGGACTTCCGACTACAAGTGGAACATAAAGGAAAACATAGCACCCTGTGATGACGAAGTAAATCATAAGTGCAGCTGCCAAGATCGCACCTACGGGCCAACATTCTGGATTGAAGATGACTGCTGAGCAAAAGCTACAGTCCAGATGATCACAGAATGGTGCGGCGGGGCAACTTGTTTCCACAACTCCGATCGGATCCTTGGCGAACTTCCATTGTACCTCGTGTTCGTGAAGAATTACCTGCGGTGGAAATTTCACGATCTCGGTCTGATTTGGTCGATTATAGGTTTTACAGAAGTGCTCCGCACAGATTTGATAGGGCACGGTTGCGTTGGTCCTTAATTCCACTCCACCTGGTATACAGCGTATAGAGTGAGGCTGTTCTGTACTTGTGGAACTTGTAATCCCCACAAAGCCGAGAATTGCCAGGATAAGAGAGACTAGAGGAACTTGGCGTACTAGTTGAATTGGGTTATTACCATAGTTTATTTGTTTCCTCGGTCTCAAGTTATATCGCTGTTCCGGTTCCTCCTCTTCATCGCGTACGGATTCTGAGCTAGCTTGGTCTTGAGTATTTGCGGAAGCTTCCTCTTTGTCATCTGAACGAATGTCATCTAGTTCTAGCGGGACTAACTGATTGACGGGCCTCCGAATTACTCGATGGGAGGGTAGCACAACCGACGCTTCTCGGGTCACTCCATTGTGAGTGTCCAGTTCCTGGATTCGGCCTATTTTCCAACAATGCCGTGGTTGAACTGGGTCACTTATTAAAACGATCGCATCCTTTTTTGGGCTATAACGTGATCCTTTCTGGCTTCCTACTTCTAGCTGATGTTGCTCTCGTAAGGACGTCAAGTAATGAGTGCGCCAGGTTTGCCAGAACTTGTCTGTGTGCTTACAAGAGCTTTTCAGAGCTTCAATTGCCTGCATTTTCGTTCTTATGATCGCTCTCTCTTCACCGCATAGATAGGAAGGATCATCGGTTTCTTCGTCGATGAGGTCTAACGGAAATGGTATGTCGAATTCGTTCTGAAGAAAATCTATGGGGCGCAAGCCTCGTTCTCCGACCGAATCCGATTCTTCGTAGAGCAGCGGTCTGGTGTTGAGTAGACCTTCGATTTCCACAAGCACTGTGGTCAATTCGTCGTGGGATAGTTTGGCTTTCCCAACTGACTTGTACAGCGAATGTTTGACTGATTTAATCAAACGTTCGTAAAAACCGCCTTGCCATGGTGCGAAGGGTGTTATATATCGCCACTCAATTTCTTTATTAGCAACCATCTGCCCAACTTCTGGGTCGTTTTGTGCAGCTTGTAGGCACTCTGATAGAATATTTTCTCCCAAGATGAAGGTTGGGGAGTTATCACTTGTAATTGACTTTGGTGTTCCTCGTCGTCCGAAAAATCGACGCAACATTCTGAGAAAAGCGGTGGTTGATTGGTCTGTAACTGCATCCAGGTGAATGAGCCTTGTAGCCATGCATGTTATGATGCAACCGTAGCTCTTCCCTTCACTACCATCCGGATGTACTATCGCCAGAGGGCCAAAGTAGTCTAGCCCGACGTGAGAGAATGGTCTTGAGCGTTGTACCCGCGGTGTGGGGAGATTGCCTTGGAGGGGATACTTGTAGGGCAAGTTATTCAACTTTTGACATGCCACACATTTTCTGATGATTCTTGTAACTTGAGCCCGCAGTTTTGGAATCCAAAACTGTTGCCTCACAAGCGACATTGTGTGGCTTATGCCTGGGTGGCCCTTGTTGTGATAGTCCCTAATAATTGCCTCAGCCAGCCACGAATTCTGCAATACAAGCAATGGATTCTGGGCATCAGCGCTCAGTTCACTGCATCCTAGTCGTCCGTAACATCGAAGCAGTCCCTCATTATCCGATTTTATATTCAAGTGATGCATAGAATGTGAAATACGAGAAGTTACAGACTGCTGGTGGAATTTTACCAGAGTTTTTCCGGCAGCTCTAACTTCGCCTCCTGTAACACTTGTTCCTGCGTCACCTGTGTAGCGTAGTGGCGGCGAAACTTGTATAGGATGGGCGCGATCTTTGTTAGTTCGATGTACGAGATTCCTTATAAAACGCAGGACGTAAGCGACTACTCGCTTCATTTTTGATAGTGGCTGTCCTTCTATATTATGGAAAAGATTGGGATCCAGTCCTGACACTGTCTTCGCATTCTTCGAATTGATGGATAGAACGCTGCTGGAAATTGGCGGAAGAGCGTCATGTTCCTCTTCATAATTCCGAGTTGGTTCCACGAATGTGCATATGCTGGACCAAGTTCCAGGAGGCTCCCTAAGCACACTTGGCCCATGCCACCACCAGGAATTCTGTAGTTCATGCTGGGGTAGTCCTCTAGTTGCACAATCTGCTGCGTTGAAGTGAGATGGTATATGGCCGAAACAAACTTGAACTCCCAAACTTTCCAGGTGACTTGTTATCTTCTCGATCTCATTGAGCCTGTTGAAGATCATAACGCTCACTTTTTGCAATGGTCGTGACTTTATCCAGCTAAGCACAATCTCCGAATCTGTTAGAATGCATACTTGTTGGATTTTTAGCACTGTTCGCAGTTGAGACAACACTGAATTAGTCAGTCTCATGGCTAAGGTCATGGCATCTAGTTCCATTTTTGGGATCGTTGGTTGTGCCTTGAGAGATGGTAATTTGCTCTTTGCCATGAGAATGTGGCAGTTATCAGCTGACCGTAAATAGACACAACTTGCCATGGCTTCAGTACTAGCATCGGCAAAGGTCACTAGTATCGCTTCCGATTGTCTTTCTGCAAGGAATCTAGGAATGGCTTTTTTGAAACCTTCTATATCCTTACATATTT